TGGGGGGATCATGTCACCTCAACAAATAATCAGCTTCCTGCAAGTCCTCTGATGTGTAAATTATTAGATGGTGACCTCTGCTGGGGCTGAGGGCACTGGGGACGTATTCTCCAGAAAACCGCACCTAAAATTATGAATCTATTTGTTCCACCCTGCAAAAAAATCAGGCTTGTTATTTTTTATCACTGCAGGGCAGGGAGCCATGGCTAATAGAAATTAGAGGCACCATAATCTGACTGGATGTATTATCTTGCTGCTCCTTCAATTCCAACTTTACACAATATTCCGTTTCAGTGGTTGTGAATGTGAGGCCTGTAAAACAGAAGTCTGTGTGGTGATCGTCTCTATGTAAACAGCGCTGTTTGGTTTGTTTTTTACTTTTGACAGTGTGATGTTTGGAATCCATCTTACATTTCATTTACAGAGGCAAATCCAAGAGTGAGAGTATATAGAAGGACACAAGGATCTGTAGAAGGACAGCATGATGGAGAACCGGCCGCCCCTCACATCACCGGGTAAGAGGAGACTTTCATTTCTTGAGTATTGAGGATCCCCCTAGATACACACATCCTCTGATATAAAGACATAGAAACAATGTATTCAGTCAGTGTGTGTGTTTCCTACAGATGGATCCAGGAACAGAAATACACCAGAGAGATGTCCCCGTCCTCTGTATTCCCGGGATTCCACACAGAAACATCAGGAGATCCCTCACACCCGTCCTCTGTATTCCCGGGATTCCACACAGGAACATCAGGAGATCCCTCAGACCCGTCCTCTGTATTCCCGGGATTCCACACAGGAACATCAGGAGATCCCTCAGACCTGTACTCTGTATTCCCGGGATTCCACACAGGAACATCATGAGATCCCTCAGGCCCGTCCTCTGTATTCCCGGGATTCCACACAGGAACATCAGGAGATCCCTCAAGAGGATGAGGTAGAATCTTAGATTATGTTTCATCAAATACAATAAACGATTTATAGAAAGGCATAGTGTATCATTGTAATTATGAATCTATTTGTTCCACCCTGCAAAAAAATCAGGCTTGTTATTTTTTATCACTGCAGGGCAGGGAGCCATGGCTAATAGAAATTAGAGGCACCATAATCTGACTGGATGTATTATCTTGCTGCTCCTTCAATTCCAACTTTACACAATATTCCGTTTCAGTGGTTGTGAATGTGAGGCCTGTAAAACAGAAGTCTGTGTGGTGATCGTCTCTATGTAAACAGCGCTGTTTGGTTTGTTTTTTACTTTTGACAGTGTGATGTTTGGAATCCATCTTACATTTCATTTACAGAGGCAAATCCAAGAGTGAGAGTATATAGAAGGACACAAGGATCTGTAGAAGGACAGCATGATGGAGAACCGGCCGCCCCTCACATCACCGGGTAAGAGGAGACTTTCATTTCTTGAGTATTGAGGATCCCCCTAGATACACACATCCTCTGATATAAAGACATAGAAACAATGTATTCAGTCAGTGTGTGTGTTTCCTACAGATGGATCCAGGAACAGAAATACACCAGAGAGATGTCCCCGTCCTCTGTATTCCCGGGATTCCACACAGAAACATCAGGAGATCCCTCACACCCGTCCTCTGTATTCCCGGGATTCCACACAGGAACATCAGGAGATCCCTCAGACCTGTACTCTGTATTCCCGGGATTCCACACAGGAACATCATGAGATCCCTCAGGCCCGTCCTCTGTATTCCCGGGATTCCACACAGGAACATCAGGAGATCCCTCAAGAGGATGAGGTAGAATCTTAGATTATGTTTCATCAAATACAATAAACGATTTATAGAAAGGCATAGTGTATCATTGTAATATCTTTATTGTTTCATATTTTTAAGAGCGAAGTTTTAAGAGTTAAAGTGGAAGTGAAAGAGGAAGCAGAAGAGCCCTACGTGAGTGATGATGAGCCATGTAAGGAGGAGGAAATCCTTCCAGAGATCAGCACAGGTGAGTAATAAACACTAAAACCAGAAAAAAGTCCCAGATTCTCCTTGTTCAGTCACTACAACAATCTCTTCTTCTCCCCCCTCCTCTGTCAGTAGACAGTAATGGGGGGACGGAATGTTTCTAGTGGGGGGAGTCAGGGGCCATCAGCCTCTATTAGACTCCGGCTCTCCTCCTCACATCATGTCACATCATGTGTGTTACCAGCCAAGAGACGTGACCAGTCTCCCCCACACACTCTCTGGTGTCTCTCATACATCTCAGTACAGGGGGCTTCACTCTCATCTTTATTCACAGACACCAGAGACTCTCAGAGAGACGTCAGAGCTGAGAAGGAGGAAGAAGGACAACTGAGGATTAAAGAGGAGGAAGTTTCTCCAGAGATCGGCACAGGTGAGTAATAAACACTAAATAAAAGAAAAGAGTCCCAGATTCTCCTTGTTCAGTCACTACAACAATCTCTTCTTCTCCCCCCTCCTCTGTCAGTAGACAGTAATGGGGGGACGGAATGTTTCTAGTGGGGGGAGTCAGGAGCCATCAGCCTCTATTAGACTCCGGCTCTCCTCCTCACATCATGTCATTGTGTGTTACCAGCCAAGAGACGTGACCAGTCTCCCCCACACACACACTCTGGGGTCTCTCATACATCTCAGTACAGGGGGCTTCACTCTCATCTTTATTCACAGACCCCGGAGACACCAAAGCTGAGGAGGAGGAAGAAGGACATGTGAGGATTAAAGACGAGGAAGTTCCTGAAGAGATCAGAAATGGTCAGTAATAACACTAAATCTAGAAACAAATCATAAAATGATAACATCCATTGAGAGGTTAATGAGAGTATAGTATCACACCCAAAGATTCTCAGAAGAGATGATCGGGTTGGTACTCCAAGTATGATTAAGTTGGGAGTTCATGTTCATGAAGGCGGAGCCAAACATTTGGTTCTGTTCCATGATATGAACTCTTTCTGATGTCCTGCTATTTAATTGCACACAAGTGATTCTTCCTCACGTCTTATTTCATGCAGATGGACAATTCAGTAAGCACAGCATGGAAAAGCTTCTCGTCATCTCCACGGATGATGGAACACAAGATGACGTCACATTGGATTCTTCAGAAGAAAACCCCATTACCCCAAACTTCCATCCAACACCTCAAGGTTACCCGTCCTCTGTATTCCCGGGATTCCACACAGGAACATCAGGAGATCCCTCAGACCCGTCCTCTGTATTCCCGGGATTCCACACAGGAACATCAGGAGATCCCTCAGACCTGTACTCTGTATTCCCGGGATTCCACACAGGAACATCATGAGATCCCTCAGGCCCGTCCTCTGTATTCCCGGGATTCCACACAGGAACATCAGGAGATCCCTCAAGAGGATGAGGTAGAATCTTAGATTATGTTTCATCAAATACAATAAACGATTTATAGAAAGGCATAGTGTATCATTGTAATATCTTTATTGTTTCATATTTTTAAGAGCGAAGTTTTAAGAGTTAAAGTGGAAGTGAAAGAGGAAGCAGAAGAGCCCTACGTGAGTGATGATGAGCCATGTAAGGAGGAGGAAATCCTTCCAGAGATCAGCACAGGTGAGTAATAAACACTAAAACCAGAAAAAAGTCCCAGATTCTCCTTGTTCAGTCACTACAACAATCTCTTCTTCTCCCCCCTCCTCTGTCAGTAGACAGTAATGGGGGGACGGAATGTTTCTAGTGGGGGGAGTCAGGGGCCATCAGCCTCTATTAGACTCCGGCTCTCCTCCTCACATCATGTCACATCATGTGTGTTACCAGCCAAGAGACGTGACCAGTCTCCCCCACACACTCTCTGGTGTCTCTCATACATCTCAGTACAGGGGGCTTCACTCTCATCTTTATTCACAGACACCAGAGACTCTCAGAGAGACGTCAGAGCTGAGAAGGAGGAAGAAGGACAACTGAGGATTAAAGAGGAGGAAGTTTCTCCAGAGATCGGCACAGGTGAGTAATAAACACTAAATAAAAGAAAAGAGTCCCAGATTCTCCTTGTTCAGTCACTACAACAATCTCTTCTTCTCCCCCCTCCTCTGTCAGTAGACAGTAATGGGGGGACGGAATGTTTCTAGTGGGGGGAGTCAGGAGCCATCAGCCTCTATTAGACTCCGGCTCTCCTCCTCACATCATGTCATTGTGTGTTACCAGCCAAGAGACGTGACCAGTCTCCCCCACACACACACTCTGGGGTCTCTCATACATCTCAGTACAGGGGGCTTCACTCTCATCTTTATTCACAGACCCCGGAGACACCAAAGCTGAGGAGGAGGAAGAAGGACATGTGAGGATTAAAGACGAGGAAGTTCCTGAAGAGATCAGAAATGGTCAGTAATAACACTAAATCTAGAAACAAATCATAAAATGATAACATCCATTGAGAGGTTAATGAGAGTATAGTATCACACCCAAAGATTCTCAGAAGAGATGATCGGGTTGGTACTCCAAGTATGATTAAGTTGGGAGTTCATGTTCATGAAGGCGGAGCCAAACATTTGGTTCTGTTCCATGATATGAACTCTTTCTGATGTCCTGCTATTTAATTGCACACAAGTGATTCTTCCTCACGTCTTATTTCATGCAGATGGACAATTCAGTAAGCACAGCATGGAAAAGCTTCTCGTCATCTCCACGGATGATGGAACACAAGATGACGTCACATTGGATTCTTCAGAAGAAAACCCCATTACCCCAAACTTCCATCCAACACCTCAAGGTGCAGATGTGTCCTCTGGTCCCTCTACCAATGGCGGATGTTCCTCAGATACCATCCCCCATCAAACAGCTCTCAGTGATCGAGAATCCTTTTCTTGTTCCGACTGCGGAAAACGTTTTACCCAGAGGGCCCATCTCGCTTCACACCAGAGGTCCCATGTTGTGAAGGAGCCCCAGTCTTGTTCTGTGTGCGGAAAGTGTTTCTCCTCCAGAAAAGTCCTTAGAGAACATCAGAGGACTCACAGCGGAACAAATCCTTTTTTGTGCGCCGAATGCGGGAAAAGCTTCTCTTCCAAATGGTCTCTTATGAGACACAAAAGAGTCCACACGGGGGAGAAGCCGTATTCATGCTCGCAATGCAGGAAGTGTTTTTCCCTGTTGACCAGTCTTATTAAACATGAAAGGACTCACACTGGAGAGAAGCCATTCTCATGTCCTGAGTGCGGGAAACGCTTTAGGCAGAAATCAGACGCGGTAATGCACCAGAGAACTCATTCAGGAGTGAAGCCGTTTTCATGTTCCGAATGTGGAAAATGTTTCACCCGTAAAGGAGCGCTGATCACACATCAGCATGTGCACACTGGGGCTAAGCCATATGCATGCTCGGAATGCGGGAAATGTTTTGCCACCAGCACTCATCTTAGCTATCACCAGAAGACTCACATGTCCGAAAAGCCGTTTTCCTGTTCCGAGTGCGGGAAGTCCTACGCTCAGAGAGGGAACCTTATTTTTCATCTCCGATCCCACACGGGGGAAAAGCCGTTTGAATGCACCGAATGTGGGAAATGTTTCCCTCACAAAGACAGTCTTATTAAACACCAGAGGTGTCACACGGGAGAGAAGCCGTTTTGCTGCAATGAATGCGGGAGAAGTTTTTCCTGCAAACAAAGTCTTATATCGCACCAACTGGCTCACCAAGGGGTGAAGCCCTATTCATGTTCGGAGTGCTGGAGGTGTTTTTCCAGGAAGAAAAACCTAATCACGCATCAGCGCGTCCATACGGGAGAGAAGCCATATTCCTGTTTGGAGTGCGGGAAAGGCTTTATCTCCAGATCTCATCTCAACTATCACGAGAAGACTCACATGTCTGAAAAGCCGTTTTCCTGCTCCGAATGCGGGAAGTCGTACACGCTGAGAAGGAACCTGATTTTGCACCAGAGAACTCACACGGGGGAGAAGCCCTTTTCATGCTCGGAATGCGGCAAATGTTTTCCTCAAAAAGACAGTCTTGTCAAACATCAGAGGAGTCACACGGGGGAGAAGCCATTTCCCTGCACCGAGTGTGGAAGATGTTTTTCTCAGAAACGATATCTGATTTCCCACCAGTTGGCTCACACGGGGTGAAGCCGTATTCATGTCTATCATGTGGGAGGAGTTGACAGATCGAGACATTGGTAGACATTAGAGACTTCTCTCTGATTTCATCCAAAGTTTGTATTTTTGGCGGGAAACCATTTCTTCATATTCCCGCACTACATAGATTCCCTATAAGCTGCTGACAAATATTAACACAATGTGAAAACATTTATGACTCCTCGAATTCTGTAAAATGAAGCCCCCTCCATTTGCCCTAGACCAGGGGTGGGCAACCTTGACACTCCAGTTGTTGAGGAACTATGAGTCCCATAAGGCAATGGAAGACTCTAACAGCCTCAGTCATGAATCCCAGAGACAGCCATGATGGAATTGGAACTTCCACCACAGTTGGAGCGCCAAGGTTGCCTAACCCAACCTTAGGCTCTTTGAACAGTGTCTTCTCTGTTGGGTGGCCTTAGACCAGGGGTGGGCAACCTTGGCACTCCAGTTGTTGAGGAACTATGAGTCCCATAAGGCAATGGAAGACTCTAACAGCCTCAGTCATGAATCCCAGAGACAGCCATGATGGAATTGGAACTTCCACCACAGTTGGAGTGCCAAGGTTGCCTAACCCGACCTTAGGCCCCTTGAACAGGGTCTTCCCTTTTCCTTGGCCTTAGACCAGGGGTGGGCATCCTTCACACTCCAGTTGCTTAGTCTCATAAGGCATTGCAAGACTCTAACAGCCACAGGAATTATGGGATTTTAAATTCCACCACAGCTGAAGTGCCAAGCTCGCCTAACCCTACCTTACACTCTTTGAACAGGGTCTCATCTTTTCTTTGGCCTTAGACCAGGGGTGGGCAACCATTGACACTCCAGTTGTTGAGGAACTACGAGTCCCATAAGGAATTGCAAGACCCTAACAGCCTCAGTCATGAATCCCGGAGACAAGCATGATGGAATTTGAACTTCCAGCACAGTTGGAGTGCCAAGGTTGCCTAACCCTACCTTAGACTCTTTGAACAGGGTCTCGTCTTTTCATTGGCCTACCTGAGGTCAAACACCAAAGGTTGAGGGGCTCACTGACTGGTCTGAGTTGATGCTGATCTGGCAACACTATCAATCCACAATTCAATAAATATTTTTTCTACTAATACTGTGTGTGTGCGTGTCTGTGTGTGTGCGCACATTATTTTCTTACTAACAGAACTTTAAAAGACTTAGAAAGCAGCTCAAATGTTTTTGAATACCACAGCGTCCCATCCATAACACTGTGCCATTGGAAGGAGCAACGAGGGATTGCTTGAGAGGTGAGTATCAGTAGGGGGAGGGGCTTCATCCAGTCATTATCTCTTTTCTCTAAACGGGCAAAGTTTCAGTGTCTCTGTAATCACTGATTCTACATTTTTGGAATACCAGAGGTGCCCGTCTTTTAGGCATGCTGCTGCTGTGGGGAATGGCTTTCTTAAAGGGGCTTTCCTCCAAAACAATCGCATGCAGCTTTGTCTCAATATACACTGTGACTATCCTGGATACTTACACTACCAGTTCTTTGCTTCCACCTCTCCTGAGGCACTGGTGCATGGCCCCGACCTCCCAGCTGCCTCCTGGGAAGGCTACGTCGTCAGTGCTTTGCAGAAAGCCTTTGCAACAATACCGCGAGTGTCACGTACCTGACTGGAGACTGGTTGGATGAGGAGGCTTCCCTTGCACTTCGTGTCCCCCAAACTCTGAGGATGGGAACAGAGCCTGAGAAACAACAAGTAGCACGGGTGCCAGTGGATGGGGCAACACCGCGCCGGGCAGAAGTCCGGAATCATGATTGGGTAGAGCAGAGCCGAGCTCACATGGGGCGGACAGCACGGTACCAGTAGGCAGAAGCGAGGTCAGGCAAGCCAGGGGTCACCCCAGTCGGACAGCACGGTACCAGTAGGCAGAAGTGAGGTCAGGGGTCACACCAGTCGGACATCACGGTACCAGTAGGCAGAAGTGAGGTCAGGCAAGCCAGGGGTCACACCAGTCGGACATCACGGTACCAGTAGGCAGAAGTGAGGTCAGGCAAGCCAGGGGTCACACCAGTCGGACATCACGGTACCAGCAGGCAGAAGCGAGGACAGGCAAGCCAAGGGTCACACCAGTCGGGCAGCAAAGTACAAGGGATGAGGCAGAGGCAAGGTCCAGTAACAAGTCCAAGGTCAGAAGGCCGGCAGCAGTCAGGTTCAATCTGGGTCAAGATACAGGAGCAGCAAACAGGATCACAGGGAACAACTGAAAGACCATCCAGCAACTGAGCCCAGACTGCGCTTGCTTTAAAAAGGGAGATCAATTCAGAGGTACTGCATCACTTCCTGTGCGCCAGATTAGCGTGCCTATGCGCATAAATCCTGATGCGCACACAAGTGCTTGTTTTCCTATGGTACGAAAAACGGGACCACGCACATGCGCAGTAGACCTGGTTACCTTACAGCGAGAATTCATGAAATGTTCAGAGATCTTGGGAAAAACATAATTGTTAATAAGTCGCCACGGCTACGGCAATGTGTGGATGGCGTAATCCCACTGCAGTGGCCATGGCAATGTATAAACAATAGCAAACGGCTCCAAATCTCCCACCTGCGCTGTATGAGATCTGGTGCTGACATCATCAGTGGGAAAACTTTTTGCAGGCCCACCGATCTCACCAGATCTCACACAGTGCATACAAGATGGTGGTGTGGGTTTGGAGGAGAAGAAGTGGTGTGTAAGCATGCAGCAATATAAAAACAAAAGGGTCAAGATAATACCATTCAATGTGTTTTGGAATAACTATTTGAGTAATGGGGGCAGCTTAGAAACGGTTGGGGGACGGGTTTAAAGATCTAATCTTGATAGATACCTTGAAGAAGAGAGCTTTTTTCCCCGGCACGTTCATTAGGGGATATAGGAGACCTCCGGGGTATAAGCTTGCCCCTAGAAGGATGGACAGTAAGCGGAAAGCAGAAGTATATCCTCTTCCTGCTGGGGGTTATACCTCCCTGCACAGGAAGTGAGAGTTCAGTTATATTTTAGTATCTTAAGAGAATAAACATCTGGAAGGACGATTTTTTTTATCTCTTTGGAGTATCGTTCCGGCTTCCATCAGAGTCACATGGAGCCCCCAAACTGGAAATTCACCAATAGAAATACTCTAGCCTAGTTGCTTGTGTTTCCCCCATCAGTGTAGCACCAGACCCCGAAGTCTTGCAAGACAAGTATGAAAAAAAGAGCTCTGACTTTCCTGCTCTACAGACTTGTTTTGGGACGATGATGTATTATTAAAGCCAAGGGGTCAGCATAAGAACCGGGCAACTAGACACTCAGGAGATCAGCGAATGTACACTATGTGGCCACACGCATGTGGATACCCCTCCGAATGATGGAGTTCTGGTGTTTCAGGTGAAGGGTGCTGTTAATGCTAAAGGCATTTTGGACAATGATGTACTCCCAATCATGAAGGTCCTTCTCTGTTCCGGCATGACCGCGCCCCTGTGCACATAGCCAGCTCAATAAAGACATGGGTGTGGTGTAGGAAAGCCCTGAGATCAACCCTACTGAACACCATTGGAATGCCAAATGCATGCCAGGTCTCATCCAAGATCAGTAGCTGACCTCACAAATGGTCTTTTGGCTGAATGGGCACACATTCCCACAGACACCCTCTCGTGGAAAGCCTTCCCAGAACTGCGGAGGCCGTTAGAGCCTCGAATGGGACCACTTCCGTATTAATGGCCATGGTTTTAGAATGGGATGTCTAACAAGCTCATATGGGTGCGATGATCAGGTGGCCACAGACTTTTGTCTCTTAGGCTCGGGAACCCAATGGCATGGCTGACACGTGATAAATATGGATAAGTCTAGAAACTAGGGATGCACCGATACCGGTTTTTCGGTATCGAGTACGAGTGCTGATACTTATATTTCAGTACTCGTCGATGCCGGTACTTCCGGTAGCATAAAGCCGTCTTCCCGAGCAATCAGGAAGCCGGGAAGGCTTCTTGATTGCCCGGGAAGCCGACTCCATTCTGTTTGGCCGGATGGATGCTGATTGATGGGGAAGCCGGCTTCTCAGCAAATCGGCATCGAGGCCGGCCAAACAGATCTGACGACACGGCGACACGACCCCCACCCTGCAGGCACCTCATTCCCCTCACATAGATCCTCAGCATTCATTAACGTACTAGTCCCTCTGCCAACTGGGCAGACACCACTCTCCAACCGCTCTCAGATCTGCCGTCTCCTGTGCGCACAGTGCCCACGTTATCGGCCCTCAGCCTTCTACTGCGCATGCGCAGACTGCCCGGCGCTCTCATTCAGAAATCCTGTGCATGCGCAGTAGCAGGCTGAGGGCCGATGGGCGCTGAGCACAGAGGAGACGGCAGATCTGAGCTTGGAGAGCGGTGTCTTGCCAGCCGGCCGAGGGACTGGTACGTTAAAGGAGAACTATGAGGCGAGTGAAAATCACTCAGCTTCATAGTTCGAGCCGACGTGTGACAATGAGACTGTCACAGGTCGGCTCAATAGATCGGGAAGTGAGCGAACACATACCGGCGTTCGCTCACCTCTCGATCCTGTGCCTGCAGAGAGCCGTTACTGTCACTCACCTCTCCCTGCAGGGATTCCCTTCCCCGATTCTCCAGCGCTGACTGGCGGAACGGACGGGGGAGGGGGCGGGTACAGCTGGCTCTGCCTCTAGATAGGCAGAGCCAGCTGTCACTCACGCAGCTGGGCGGATCCCGGCACAATTGTCGGGATTAGTCCCGGCTGCAGCGTCTCAGTATACCGTGAGCTGTAACTCACTATATACTGAGCTTTGGGTGACGGGAGGACGCTAGTTTGTGTCCTCCCGTTTCCCTTAGGAGAACTATGGGGAAAAGCCTTAACCCCATAGTTCTCCTTTAATGAATGCTAAGGTGGGGGTCTTGTTGCCATGTCGTCAGATCTGTTTGGACGGCTCGACACTGATTGGCAGGGAATCCGCAATCAGCCGGCCAAACAGCATGGAGCCAGC